TTTGGGCTTTAGGACAGACTGTCTGGTTTTAGGTCACTAGTTCATTCAATGTGCTATCCAGACACTGCTTCAAAACCACATAAGATCCCTGAAAACTTCTTCCATTACCAAATTACGTGCTGATGAAAGGATTCTCATCTTAAAGCTAGTCACAGACGTTTGTATTTCCCAAATGATAATATATTAATCCAAATGATTTGTCATTATAAAGTACCTTCCTATGAAGCAATTTAACAGCTTTATATTGAATATAATGTTTTTAAAAAATTTGTTGAGGTTTATTTTTGAATAAAATGTACTATAAATAAGTTATTTGATGTTTTACCACATAAATTTAAAACAATGGTTATATCAAGAGATACATGTCAAAAATGCATTGGCACTACTGTAATAAGATTGCTAATATGACAGTAAAGTATATAACATAGTGGGCTTACAAATTTATATGGTATATCTATATATTGCCTATGCTAATTCTATATGTTAAGAGTGAATATGATGTGCATTTTACGAAAGAGAATTGAACAGATGAAAAAGTTTGCCCAAGGACACATAATAAGGGGTAAAGCTAAATTGGAAATGTAATGTTTGAGTACCACACATCACAGATAATCCATTGAGTCAACCCAACCACACTAGTGTCCTTGAGAACTACTGGCATTTCTCCCAAATGATGCCCCTTGATACTCAAAGTCAAAGATAAAGAAAGTTTCCCTATGTACTCCACCACAAAACTATAGAGCAATTCAATTGACATAACAGAATTTATACTTTGCCGTATTTTAGTATCATATTGCAATTGTAACTGCAAGCAAGAAATAATGACAATGAAAATGATCATTTAAAAAATTCAACACACAAAGGTTCTCATACTTGACTTAAAAATATAGTGAGTAAATATTAACCTGTGCAATGGCTTATTAAGCATCAGTTTTTAGACTTCTTAGAACCTTTAATACATTGCAATGAGAAACTGACAAGTGAATATTACATAGCTCTTGTGTGTGGCACTGAAATCATTTCTACTTAATACAAAATTGCGTAACTATTGAGATGTTTTACAATCAAGTACCTAAAAGTGACAGCTCACCCTGTGAACTGGGATCAATTTGTGATAGACTTTGAAATGGGTGCTAAGAACAGATCTGAAGTATAAAATATCTATCTTGCCCTACAGGATTTAAAAAGTTTAGTTAGTATCAAACATCAAAAATCATCATCATTGTACCTACAGTGGACAGTACAGTATATATGTGTGTGCAGATTCTGCAATCCATCTTCAAAGTAGTTACTGGTACATAGAATGATTTTTCTTCCCATGAAACTGCATACAGTAGTTTGACCCAACTATAGTCTACAAAATCCATTTGGAATTTAAATTATACCTGGATTGAGTCATCAGAATCCTGAAAAAGGGATACAAGAGAAAGCAACGGTGAAACTGGCAGGCCTTCACAGTAAATTAGATGCAGGTTGCAAGCAAAGAGTTGGAGTTATCTAATATGTATGACAAACTAATTCTGAATTAATTTTATTATACTCCATCATTCTAGTACCAGTATTTTCTTAACAATGGTGGAAACTGTGTAAGCAAAATTCATGTTTATTTATGACAGACAAATTTTCACAATTATAAAGTATAGATACAAACACCCAATGGACTGCTTAGCTCATGATAAAAGGGAAAAAATAGAATGCAGCAGTTTTAATTCCAGTTTCCAGAATCTGACTCTGCCACTTACTACCCGCGAGATCTACAGCAACTCAATCAATTTTTGTGTTTCTTCTCAAGTGTTAAAAAATAGACATCAACAATAGTTCTTGCCTGCAGGATTACTCTCTAGTAATCTAGAATATGTAGGTTCCAAAGGCCTTCTGGACCAGTTAGTATCCAAGAAAATATCTAGCAGTTGATACTGGTGAACTAAGTCAAAAGACTTGGCAGCCAGGGAAGAGACAGTGTAATGCTATGAATTCTTAGATGTTATCCCAAAGAACGTGTATTATCAGACTGATATTTAAAACTGAAAAACTGAAGATAACTGTCATAACCAGTAATTGCTGTTTTAACAAATCTCACATAGATATTAGGCATCATAAGATAAAAAATTCCAAAACTTCTCTACTATATAACAGTTGCATGAAACGTAGATAGAAATAGTGTCACGTGGTGAAAAATCAATTCATCTGTGAAAGGTGCTCAAATGGAAAGCACAGTCAGACAAAACCTCCCAAAGAGACACTATTTATACACCAAGCTTTGTGTTGGCTAAAGGAATAAGAGAGGGAAAAACCAAAGACAAACCAATTCTGGTACCAGAAGTAGTGAATTTAATTTCTTTAGAAAACCAACTAAGCTCCTTGGATGTCTTCTCTGACATGAACTAGAATACCATTTAGCCTCTAATATCGATCTTTACTAAAGTGCACTGGATGACCTTTCCATATTCTAAATAAGTGGCCTCAGCCTACTCTGCTTTCAGATTCTAAGTTTTTCTTTTGTGTGTGTGGGTGTGTTTTTAAATATTTATTAATTATTTTTTGATTTTTTTATTTAAATTTTATTTTTATATTCCCCATACAATTGCAACCCCCTTATTTTGACCCCATCCCTCCTTTCCCTGCCCCCCGCCCCCCATAGAGTGTCTCTGGTTCATAGTTATTTGTTGATTTTGATTTTTACTTTCTTATAGTTATTCTTTTTCCTGTTTTTCTTTATCTTGATTCACCCTTCCCAGCCAGACTATCAAAGATACTTAACAGCAATTTCTCTCCTATACAGTGAGTTTTTCCTAGGAATTGAGGGATGTGAGCTCCAGCCCAAGGGTTATGTACATCTAGACACGCTTCATTGGACTTGCCTTCTCTCCATATTCTAAATGCAAGAGATTATTAAGTATCCAATTTGAAAACAGGTGAACTGTAATTTCACCTAAGCTCAATATTGTCCCAAAGAATCTTCTGTGAGTTTTATATGTCACTAAACATCTACAAGTCTCACTTATAATTACCTGATCTAAACTAACAACAACAACAAAATGGTAAAATAAAGTATGGCAGAACTTTCTTTCCATAGCAGACATATAAACTGAAGAAATCATGAGATTTGCGAGAATGTCAGGAAACATATGTGATGCCCTCTTTTTCACTTATATATTTTTAAAAGGAGTACATTTTTTTTTCTGGCAACATTGAGAGTGTAAATTCTCATCAACTCCACTGAACAATACCAACTAGGCTTCATGTAGACACATTAAAAGTGAATTAAGGGAATAGTTAAATCTTGACCCAAATAGGACTAAATCTTTGGTAGGATTTTAAGTGATTATCTCACATTTTCCCCTTATTTAGTAATATTGATAAAGTTCTCTTAAAAAAGAGATTACATATAATAAAGCCCTTTCTGTATCTAGTAAATGGGTTGTGATTAAACAGCTCACTGCCAAGAGAGTTAAAATGAATTCTCTGAAAGGAACATCTCCCTGGGACAAATGAATTCCTTGGGTACTGTTCATGAAATCACCCTTCCTATAGGGAGATCTTGGATAAGGCTGAGGTGAGACTCTTCTGGTTCTTATGAACTGATCATTTTTGGTTTTTCAATTAACATGCTAGATTGTGAAATTTTAGGAAGTCCTTCTTCAATTAAAAAAAATTCAAATACCTAGAATATTTCAAAGGAAAATTGCTGTAGAGAAGCAGAAGGGGAAAACAGATGTGAAAGTATTCCTTAGCAGTTATGAAGGTAAATAATACATTATTTGTAATATGAAATCAAAAAATAAAAAAAGAATCATTCATGAAAATTAAATAGTTTCTTTTTCATTCATTAATTCAGTAAGTACTCTTTGAGAATCAACTTTGAGTAAGATATTATACCAGATATTACTAATATATACTTTAAAAAATGAAAATCTCTTGGTCCAAGTCTTCCAGGAGCTTCCAATCTATTTAGGATCATAAGTTTCATATGAAATGGCTAATTATAAAGCAATGAAAGCCAGAGTTGAGTTGTAGCAGAATTCAGGGAAAATAAATGGATAGACTATCTGCAAACACCAGTGCACATTTGAATAGTGAAAAAAAAAATGTTACAGAAAAGGAAAAATATAAACTTTACCCAAGTTCAATAAATCATTAATTTATGGTCCAGTCCAGATGGCTAACACACACACACAACTGAGATTGCAGAAAAACAAAATAGAGAAATATTTACAGACATGTTCACCCAGAATAGATAGGAGTAAGGATTCACAAAAGAAACTTTGAAACAAGAATCCCTCAGGGTGAGCTACAGTTCAATTCTGAAAGACACTTTAGCCACTGATAACAGGAACATTTAATCAAAGGAACTTAACAGCAATAATCCAGTGAATTCCAACTGAATAGTAAATATTTTTTTCCTTGCTCAGTTTAGTCTCAGAAGAAAAGTCCCATTAAAATAAGATATTTGCAATAGAAGTATTCCCAATTAGGTAGCAGAACATGCTCTTCGCAATATTTAATTGTTCCTTTTACTTTAGCAATCCAAACAAAGACTATCACTCAAGATTGTAGTGCACAACAACTGTAAGAAAAATCTTCACCATAGTTTTCCCTAAGACTTATCTCCACATTGCTTACTCTATCTTGAAACATGTTATTAAGTCTCAGGCATTCAGTTGAATATTTAACATGGGCCAACAATATACTTCAGAACTGGCAATAAGAGTGAGTGTTCCAACAGCCTCAGAGCCTGACACTAATGTACTGAGACATATTAGCAACTCTTGGGAATGATGTCTCTGCTAATTAGACCACCATGAACAGATTCCCAAGCCTTGACCAAGTTTTGCCAAACATCTAATGGAGAACTCTGATTTATAGGCTGTCCAGGTGAAGCCCGAACAGATGGTATATTTTAAAAATAATTGACACGTGAATTTGTTCAGGTTCTCAATCTCCAGAAAGCATGCAGCTTTAAAGTTAAAAAACAAAAAATAATATTTTTAGTCATCTACCTTATCTTTGTCTTCAACGACATCTGCCAAGACATCATCTGGATCCAGGATTCCTCCATCTGTGTATTCTAAGTGATGAATCTTCACCCAGTAGCCAGGATCCTGTGGTAGAACCACCAAATTTCATGAATCAAACTTTTAGAAAAGGTAAAACACATTTTAAGTTTAAAATAAATTGACTCATTAAAACTATGCTCTACTTCCATATGATCCAGCAATTCCACTACTAGGTATTTACCCAAAGGACACAGAAACATCAATTCCAAAGAGCACCTGCATCCCTATGTTTATAGTAGCACTGTTTACAATAGCTAAGCTTTGAAAACAGCCCAAATGCCCAAAAATAGATGACTGGATCAAGAAGATGTGGTACATATACACCATGGAATATTACTCAGCATTCAAAAAAGATAAACACATGCAATTTGCAGCAACATGGATGGAGCTGGAAGGGATCATGCTCAGCAAAATAAGCCAGAAAGAAAAAGAAAAATACCAGATGGTCTCACTCATAGCAGGAATCTAGAAAACTTAAATAAAGGACCAGGAAAAAGAATAACTATAAGAAAGTAAAAATCAAAATCAACAAACAACTATGAACCAGAGACAGTCTATGGGGGGTAGGGAGGGGAGGGATTGGGGTCAAAATAAGGGGGTCACAATTGTATGGGGAATATAAAAATAAAATTTATAATAAAAAATAAAAAAAACTATGCTCTAGTAATAAAATTTTTAAACAGCAAAAACAAATGTTATTTACTTGGATAAATACTTAGCCTTTGTATGTTTATTTTTTTTTGCCAGGTTATATGTAATATACAATATATATAATATCCAACTATTTTCAAAATACCAAAGTGGTTTCAAACAGTCTACACTTTCACCAGAAGTATTTAGGATTTCTCATGTTTCTCATTCTTTTTTTCAGTATAAGAGCATTTTCTGTTTCAAATCCAATTATGTTTAGTGTACTACATTTGATCATTATTTCTCCTCCTTTTTTACCAGTTACCCAATTATACATGACATATAGCATTTTATTAGTTTGAAGTGTTCAACATAATGACTTCATATATGTATATGTTGCACAACGCATATACATCACAGCAAGTTTTCTGGGGAAAAATTGAAATACAAAAATAAATTGCCCTACCTATTTGAGAAGCACATTCAAGGAATTTCTGATCATCTACAACTTATCTCGAGAATATTCTGTAAAAGATCTTTTTGAAAGTCCTTTCTGAAACAAGGGATTAGAAGATGTAGTACCAAAATGTAGTACCAAATGTAGTACCAAAAAAAAAAAAAATCAAAAGGCAGAAATCAATGATGGCAATATCCATCACTTTGGGTATATGAATGGAATGCTGCAACCTCACGCCTTTTTAACCATTTATATTGCACACTCTATGCAAGTCCTCTACTCCAAGATTTGCAATGATATTTGGAGCAAGAGTTCTAGCTCTCCTGCAGCACAGCAGCAATTGCAACTGTTTTCAGAGTTAAAAGGGGGAGGGGGTCATTGAAATGGGGCACTGACTTAATAGCTCTCCAAATATTATTTTTCTGAAAACTGCTTAGGACTGTAAGAGTTAAGGAGAAAAATTATATTTTTCAATTTGATGTGTAGGGAATATTTGTGGCTAGATACTCTGATATCTGAATTAAGAATGAAGTGATGTAGACCATTCAATTATTTATGCACTTTCAGAAAAGTAAACCATTATAATACTGAGACAAGAACAGAAAGAAGAATAAAATAAGAAAAAAAAAAAACATTAATAAGGCTTTTACCAGAATACCTAAGCTATGAGTAATTTGGTTCTGTGATTCTGAGAAAGTCTCTCAAAGTGGGAAACTTTTGGCTATAAAGCATTCAATGTCCAATAAAGTAAGAGACATCAGTTTTTTGAGGAAAGATGGATATTCTTCTAGGATAAAGTGCTAAGTCTTTACCACATGAATCTTTAAAAAGAACAAGAAGTAACATAACTCACAGAATTCAATTGCAATTTTACAAAAACTAATAGAAATGTGTGTCATAAAGCCTTTTTTATAACTGTCCCTCAATGAAAAGCAAGGTCATACTATTAAATAACTCTTTTAAAGCATCTATTTGGAGGGCTACTAAAATGTGGCCCACGCACACAACTTTCCAGTAAGCTGTCTTGATAAATAGGCTTTAAAAATCTAAAGGAATTCTTCTTAGCTAGACTTTGAACATTTCAAAATTAAGTCTTCTATGAAGTACCTATAAAGCAACTCCAAGTTAAATTAATGTCTTTGCCTCTAACACTAGGCCTATAGGTGGAAACACTAACGATTTATTAGGAAACTTTAAGTAACTGTCTGATTCTATTGCCCAGAATCTATTGCAAAGATATGAGCAGGGACTATATAACCAACCAGGTAAGAAAAGCACAGGATAACCATCACTCACATTCCTTAATAAGAGATTTTTGCCAGCTAAAAGTTATTCAGCTAAAACCATGCGCTAAATACAATAGACTGGATTCCAAATAGGGAAAATACTGGTGAAGACAAAACACTATAAAACGGTCTCTGGACTACACAGAGAAGCAGCAAGAAAGAACTCTCCCAGTCATCATTAGAGTTGTAGTATCTTTACTTGGCCACACCGTGAGCAACACATTTTTCTAAATCTACCTAGGACTTTGACTGAAATCCATGGAGTATTACTTTTTCTTGTAAAAACATCCTTCTTTTAAAAGGAGTTGAATTTAATTAATTTCTATAAGCTTCCATTGAGTTGGTTTTGATATATTAAGGTTCTGTAGATGAAATCTGTTGATTTTCACTGGGTTTACAAAAGATGTATTCTAAAGAGTTTCCTTTTTTAAAATCCAATAACTTAAAAGCAGACATCTCCTGGGCTATCTGCTTTTTTCTCATGCTTTGTTTGTTAAAGCAGATTTTATCCGCTAAAACTGAAGTAAATAATTACTCCCAACAAGAACCATACATAAGTTTAAGTATACCTCTTTTTGTGTAGAGGTCAGAATAGAGACAAAGAAGAAAACTGAAGAGTTTGATTTAAAATGAGGAAACTCAGGAGACAGTGGGGGATGGGATCTATCAGTGGCAGCAAGATTGGGTCATTAAGTCACACAGCATTCCTCCCTCATACATAGGTGTGGGACCGGAGACATTCAGGAAAACAGGCACAGGAATTGAAGCTAAAATTGAGTCTAATTTTGACTCAAAGCAGTTCAGAAATGTAAAGGCTTATAGAACAAAATTAAGTAAAATTATGATTAGATTCACTCTGGAATCATATTTTATGCAAAAAAGGTTTATATGAAATGCATGGTGCCCAAATATACCAAGACACTGCAATTTTAATTCTCCCCATTATTAAGTGATACTGTCATTTAATACATACTAAAAAACAGGTTAGTGCTAAACACTAGCACAATGTCCAAATCTGAACAAAAACAGACAAGCTAGATAAATGCCATCACAGAGTTAATATTTTAAATATCCAACAGAGGTAAATCAACAAGCATAGTACAGACCAACTGCATTTTTTTTTTCCTGCATGGTATTTTGGTCATAGATCATCTTAAGAATATATGTACAACATTAGCAGCCAACGGCTATCATAAGAGCACAAATTTACTGACTCTTTTATGCATGTAAAAATTTCAACCATTACATTTCAGTGAACATTTTGCATTTAATGTACTTGGTATTATTACCATTAGGAATAAAACTAATCAAACATGAAAAGATGTTCACATATGTGTCTTGGTTCACACAGATAATCACGTAGAAAAGTTTACTGTATTTTCATGATCTTGATATTTAATCCACCTTTATATTGCACAAACAACTATTATAACAAATTATTTTGAAAATAGGGCCTCCACTGGTGGCGCAGCAGTTGAGCACTGGGCTGTGAAGATGCCCGCAGCCTCTGCAACGCCAGTTTGATCCCCGGCCGCCAGCAAGGGTCCCACGTGGCATGCAGACCTCTCCTGCCGAGCCCACCGGTCCACTCAGCAGTGTATTTCGTCAGTCTGCCTGTTCTGTTCCCCACTCTGGCTCTGGTGAATTCTCTCACCCTCCCATGCTTCTGACTATACCCAGTGCTTATATAAATAAATAAATAAATCAAAAAAAAAAGAAAATACGTAGTATATGTGCTCATTTTGCTATGCCCTAAGTCTTATTACATCCCTAAGATCACAGAAGAATTGAAAAATAACAATGTTTCCTCCACTTCTAATAGCATCTAATATGTTTTAAGAATAAGTGATAGTTAACCAAAACCCTACAAGAATTTTAAAACTAAAACTAGTCAACAAGGATAAATTGGAAAAAGGAAACAAAAACACATGCATTTGAGCAAGAAGACAGTTACAGGGCGCTTTTAATGACCAAATGTAGAAATAGTTCCTGGAAGATGCTAATATACATAGAAACAAAAATCCTTCCCACCATGGTAAATATGAAATTTGAACCTAAAAATGAAAAAAAATTATAATAAATTTGTCCAGAACTATAATATTGCGTCATTATCATAGCAGGTTAATTTTAGTGCTTACAATAGACCAGGTACTATAATGCTATATACTACAAGTTTCATTTGATTAATTCATTTCTTAGTAAATGGCCTCAGGAAATATTTATCCACACATTTTGTAGATGAGGAAAGCAAGTCATGATAGGTGAATGAACTTAGTCAAGGTCAGATGTTTAATAACCAGCAGAGTTGGGGCATTTTTAATTTTTATTTTTAACATGGAAAATAAATACTTTTTTAAGATTAAAGATCTTAACAAAAAGCACATTAACCTAGGAATAAAGCAAGGGATCAGATCCATCTCTAACACAACTTAACTATAATGGATACAGCCTACTTACTATGACTGACCTTGGGTGCCTTATCACTGGTGAAGCTGGAAGCTCTCTACACCACATGGAGATCAAAGTGCAGTGGACACAAAGAGGCAATAATGGAAAACCCAGAGTCTTCACATTAGTGTGTTCAATGTTTCACAAGTGAGAAACTTCAGAACATAATTACTTACAAGCATGGCATTAAGAGTATAGGAAACAACAGAAAAAGACCTTTCTGC